TTCCCCCCCCCCCCCACCCCCCCGTTTTTGTAGGTTTATTGTATGAAGCGAAAGGGTTTGAGAAGGAAGCGTTGAAGTGTTACGAGAAGGCGCTGTACATTGAGCCAAATCATGTACCGAGTTTAATATCAACAGCTGTTGTTCTGAGTCAACTCGGTGATAAATCAATGCCGGTGGCGAAAAGTTTTCTGACCGATGCATTGAGGCTTGAACGAACTAATGCGGTAGCGTGGTACAATCTTGGTTTGGTGTACAAGAGTGAGAGCGGTGTTGAGGCGGCAGAGTGTTTCGAGGCAGCGGCTCTCCTCCAAGAATCTGAGCCAATTGAACCTTTCAGATGATGATATTATATACTCTGTAATATATATATATATATATACTGAGTACCGACCATAATAAATGAAATTGGAAAAGAAAAATGGGCACTGTTACTTTTGGAGAAAAAATATGCAAAACGACATCGTTTTAGTATTAAATTGGCCAAAAAAAAAGGAAAAGAAATGGGCCAGAAGCTGGGGAATGTATGGGGTAATTAAAAGAAAAGAAAAAATAGAGTATGAGTAGGAGGAAATTAATAGGAAATAGAAAAAAAAAGAGTTAGAACAGGGAAGTATAGGAGTAAGTTAAAGAGATGTAAAAAAGTGTGTGAATGTATAGAAAGGAATGTAAGTAAAGGGAGAATATATATATATATATATATATATATATATATATATATATATATATATATATATATATATATATATATATATATATATATATATATATATATATATATATATATATATATATATATATATATATATATATATATATATATATATATTTTTTTTTTTTTTTTAAATTCTATACCAAGATGCAGGCAATAATCATTTCAATGGAAATTGAATCATTCACTTGTCAATTGTCACAAACAAACGAAAAAAACCGGGGAGAATAAATCTACAAAATCGTAACACAACAAAAACATCGTAGAAATTTTCAGAATCATCTATGTTTTTTGCCCTTCGAAATTAAAAGAAAAATTGCTATCGACACTACTTTTTTCTGAGATCCACACCAGCTTTCTTGGCTACAGCATCGAGTCCATTCTTCTCGATAGTCTTGATAGCTTTTGTCGACAAACGCAGCTTCACAAACCTCTTTCCGGCTTCCCACCAAATTCTTTTATACTGCAAATTCACAAACTGCCTCTTTATTGTCCTGTGGTTCGAATGTGAAACCAAATTCGCCTTGTTCGATTTCTTCCCCGTTAACGGACACACTCTCCCTTAAAAATGTACAAACAAAACATAAGAAAAGTATATACAACATTAAACAATCATGCAAGTTTAATACAAATTAATGAATCAAGAAAGCATGAATTTTCGTGATTAAAAAAATAAAATAATAAGGTAAGAATTAAGCACCTTTAATCTTGAATCATTGAGTATACAAACATTACGGTGGGCAAAATTATAACATTATTGCCGATATTTAACTAAACGAATACAGAGAACAAATGATTAAAGACCTTGAAGTGAAGCCATACATAATAATGCAGCAAGATTTATCTATCGGTTTGCACTTTAAGATGTAACAGCTTATCGGCTCTAAAAATATCTTATCTAAGAGCTTATCTTTAAAACAAGCTTAACCAAACGAGCCCTTAAAATATATATGGCAGCAAAATTCAAGGGGTTCAAGTATTAACATCCATTAAGTAAAAAGACAGAAATGCCCCTATGCATTGCTTCCTCCCACTCGGAACTAGCTCCGTGTATGTATGTATGTATGTATCTATGTCAACAACTTCGAATCACTTATCGATTCTAAATGTTCTAATGAGATCCTATTAACAATTCAAGGGGTTCGAGTATTAACATCCATTAAGTAAAAAGACCGAAATACCCCTCCACATTGCTTCCTCCCACTCGGCACTAGCTCCGTGTATGTATGTATGCATGTATATATATGTCAACAACTTCAAATCGCTTATCGATTCTAAATGTTCTAACGAGATCCTATTAACATTCTCGAACGAGCACTATAGATTATTCCATCAATTCACTAGCTTCAATGCATAACACCCCCAAAACAACTACATTTCTTCCACCCCTAAACAAGGTACAACAACAGAAGCCCAAAGTACTACTACATCCCACAAGGGGCAATAAATAATCAAATACAGACTAATTCATCACACTTTGCAGAGATACATACACATGGACAAAATTAGATACAATTACTAGGATAAAAACCAATATCGAAACCCTAAAATCACTATAAGCAAAAAAAAAAAAAAAAAAAAATTGGAGGTAGAGGATAGAGAAACTTACGGGCAACGGGCTGAAGAGCAGGGCGGAGAGGGGCGGAGACGGGAGCGGGGGCCCGTATCTGAAAACGGGCCGTCGATATCTTCATGCCGCTCAATTGAGACGCTACGGAACCAATCTCCGAACAAGTGTTGGAGGTTTTGAGTGATAATCTGCCATTGTTTTGGGATTTTGAAACTGAAACACCCATCATCATCGGCCCTAATGTAGCTGTGATTGTCGCCATTGTTGCGGAAATTTCAGATAATCTTTTTTCTTTTTTTGGGGAGGAGAAGTGAGTGGGAGTGAAATAGTGTGGATAATGGAAACACTTTATTTATTTATTATTTTTATTATAATTATTTTTTGGGTAAATTACAAACCCCGAACTTAAGCTAAATAATGAAAAATACCCCTACCTATCCGTAATAACCAAAATCCCCCTATGATTAATTGTTGATCGAGTTTTTTAATAGAAAATGTGTACAGTCTATTATACATTATGTTAAATATGTGAGAAAAAAAAAAAAAGACTATCTGAAATTGTGTAAAGTCTATTCCCTAGAATAAAATAAAATCCGTGAAAAGTTATACTGTAAAGACGGAAACAGACCTCAGGGGGTTTTGGTGATTACGAATAGGTGGAAGTGGATTTTGTAATTTAATATAAGTTTAGGGGATTTTCGTAATTTACCCTTACTTTTTTAACTTCCACCCCTTCAAGTTTTACGTTTTAGAGTTTGGTCTATATATTTTTACTTTTATGCCATTTGAGTCCCTCGGCAAGTGAAATAGTGAATTGGTAATGATTGAAGAAGAGAGACTGCAAGGTTTAAGGTGGGTTTTGGATTTCATTACGGAATTAAATAAGGCGGCGGTTATATGCAAGGCCATTTTTTTATTAGTTCAAAATCACATAAAGGAGTTTATTAGTTCAAGCCCGTAAATTAATCTAATTTTATTACATCAAGACCAAAGATGACAAATATACCCTTATCCACAAATAATACTCAAATACAAATAAATTTTATTTTTAACCAAAAATTAAAAAAAGAAAAAAACAAAAACAAAAAAGAAATATCACGACTGCCAACCAGCGAGACTTTCACCGCACCGACGATGACCAGCGACCCATCCACCGCACCATTACCACCACCGCACCACCACCAACAAGTAAATTCATTTTACTAAACTTTTGTTTGTAAATTCGAAAATATTAATCGAGCATCGATGTCCTTTTTACTAAATTTTTATTTGTAAATTCGAAAACATTAATTCAACATCGATTCTTGATAAATATGTATGAATGGACATTAATCTATGCTTATTTCTTGTTTGGTTTGCAATGATTTGGTCAATTTTGGAAAATAAATTGAGATTGAAATTGGTTTTTTTTTTTTTTTTCGTTGGTTTCCCAAATCGGTTTATCCAGACCGATTTTGTACACGAAAATCGGCATCACAATGCCGATTTTTGTTAACCAAATCGGCGACACAACGTCGACTTTACAAGTCAAAATCGGCGTTCTAATGTCGATTATTGAATACAAAATCGTTTTTCAAATACCAATATTTTTTGGATTTTTTTTTTTAAATAATACATTATATATTTGGTTAATTGATATTTTTTAAATATTTGAAACGAAAATGTTTATCACCATTCGGTGGAGTCTACCACTCCTTTAACCCAATCGAGTAGAGCTTTCCGTGTCTCAAATATTTATTCGTTAGATAATTCATTTGAATAATCCTCCATCAATCCTCTAGGTTGATGCACGAAAGTATGAGAAAACGGTCTTAAAAAAGCACAGATAATAAAATCGGTATTTAAAAACCGATTTTTGTAGTACAAGTCGGCATGACAATACCGATAATACAAATCGGTGTTATCATGCCGATTTTTACTACAAAAATCGGTTTTTGAGTACCGATTTTTATTAAAATAATCGGAATGTGGTTACCGACTTTAGTAACAAAAATCGGTATTTGCAGACCGATTTTTGGTATCGTCGAATTTTTTTCCCAACAAAAAAAAACGACCCAAAAGCAAAAATAAACGGTTAAAACATATTTCATTGTGTTCTCCACCCTCGTAAACCACCATATCATTGTTTTCTGGTTCTATCGTGAATGTTTGGTATGTATTTGATAATTTTGGTGTGTAGGATTTCTTGGTGGGTTTGTGAAGGAAAGTTTTAAGTCGTGAAAAATAGGGATTTCTCGATTAATGTATTTTATTTGGTCTTGCACAAAGGAATTTTTTTTTTTTTAATGTTTTGTGTTTTTCATTTGATTTTAAATTTCATTAAGGGTAAATTAGTATTTTTATGTTGGAGGTCTTGAACTAATAAAAAAATGGGCTTGCATATAACCGCCGCCATTAAATAAATTAAAAAAATAAAATAAAATAAACTACTCCGAAATAGATAGATTTCTATTTATAACGACGAGAGATAATCATTTGAAATTATTTATCGAAGGAATCGATCCAAACAAGTCGATAGACGAGTTAATTGATAAAATACGAAAATAATTTAATGATGGTTTATAACTTCAAATTACAGATACAAAATGGAGCTCTATATTTCAGCTAGCACGAAAAACAAAAAACAAAAATCGAGCTATTACAGGTCAAGATAACGAACATACCGTGCTCGTTTTTAGATGTAAAATCCATCCCTACTACACATTAGCCGAAAAGGCTGCTACACTAAAACTAATCTTACCAAAATCAGAGGTTTTTCGGTAAATTGTTCAAACTTGTAATAATCTATTCGGAAATCTCATCTATTAATGCACATAATATTATCATTCAACAACATTCTAACTCTCCCTTAACTGCGATAATAATACCCGCAACTAATTAACATTAATTAATCTCTCTTAATTACCTGCGAAACCTCGTTAGGTAAAGATCGTGGTCAACGTAACCAACTGTCACAACACGCCCATCGAATATTCGTCCGTTTAAATAATGTGCAGCCATACAAGCAGCCTCTGCTCTTCTATACTCTACAAAAACCGAGCCCGGCTCAAATAAACCCTCAAATTCAATGTGAAAATCCTCTTTATCGCCTTCCGATTCGAAAGATGTCGCCTTTTTTGCATTGTTTGCTTCCAACTTCAATTCTTCCTCGGGACTCGTCGCTTTTGCATGATTTTCTTCTGATTCCAACTCTTTGTCGGTTAAGGGTATGTTTTCTTTATCGATTGAAATAGAACCGGAAACTTTTTCATTGCTTTCCGAATCAAGAACCGAGGCATTTTGTTGATCCACATATTCTTCTGTAAGACCACCAGAGTTTTCCTGGTTGGGAGGATCTTCCATAGAAATATCTTCACTATTCGAAGGCGGTTTACATAATTCATCTTCCATAGGACTATTACCAGAACCACTATCTTCCGATTCTTTCGGAGTTTCTAGCGGTTCTGACCTGTCAAATTCTTCGACCCCGTCGATAATACTATCACCTAAGTCGCACGCATCAGTAGAAGCACCCGTGTACTTTTCTTCATATGCTTCAATGGTGCTGATAGTGTTTGTAGGCTTTGCAACGTTGACAGATTTCACTGTACCAAACCTATAGCATTTATGAAGAGATAAGAAAAATATTTAACCAGCGGTGAAATTAAATAAGTCGATCAATCTATCGATGTCAAACCTCGAAGACTCCAGCCTTATGTCTTCCAATATTTCTTCAAGATCCGATTCGGACGTTGACAAAAGCCCTTCAGGATCCAACTGAATTTACACGAATAAGTTAGTGGCTTTACACACGAAAAAGATGAATTAGAGAGTGGAGAAAGCAAAATGAAAGCGTAACAAAGAAGCAATACCACGTTTTTCAGCTTTAAAACAACCGTGGGCTTCTCAAGAAGTGGCTTGGCATGTTTGGGGATCCGATATAACGGCATTTCTCCAACATTTTCCTAATGAAAAATTTATTGGAAAAATGAATACCTTCAGTTCAATAAGTTAACAATTCACAAGGGGACGACATACCTCCAAAGCAGCTTCTCGAGTAGCAAATACTGCAGTTACGACTTGTCCACCCAGCCTCATACCGTTAAGACCAGCACAGGCCTTTGAACTAACTGAATGGTCAGCATACTGAGGTAATAAACAATTAGTTTCTGACAGTGGATTCAAAGGGCATCTATTTGAAAAAGAATAAAATAAAAAGACAACAAACAAGAATATTGCATGTCCAGTCATCATTCTCTGGAAAACTATATATATGCATTCCAAACAACTTTTCAAAATTACAATTTGTACCTCGAGAAATGCATACGGTTCATTAATTTCAGCAATACATTCAAAGTGGAATGCCTTCACGTGTCCAAAGACTTTGGCAATCTCCAAAAGCTGAAGATAGGCAAACATTATTAGGAGATATACTAAGATATGACATAAAGGTGCAAATCGCAATTGATTTATAACCAAAGTCAAGAGTTAACTTACCATTTTGGAAGAAATAAGTTTTGAAATCCCACCAATGAAGATCTGAAAACTCAGGTGAAAGCTCGTCAAAGAAGAAACTTCAGCAAAAGGAAATTGACTTAACTAGAAACAGAAAATGAATTAACCAATTTGCTAACATATACCAATTTCCTTTTCTATAATTTTCTTTAGGAGCAGATGCGAGAAGGCCGGAAGGCAAACATTTCTCTCGAGGCACTCAATACAGAGATACAAGCTTACATGATTACAGCTAAATGAGAAACCATAGGATAGCTTATATGATAAATGTGCAAAGTCATGTTGATCGTCAACTGAAGATCAAGCAACAAAATTTCAGACATACTGAATAACATTCAAGAAACACACCTTGTGGGGCGAATCCTCTACAACGTCGCTAATTGAATCAACAGCAGCCACTGATTTGTCAGAAAGACCAGTCTGCATGAAAATAGCAACTGTCTGAAAACCTGCTACATGGAATAATAACCACAATATACCTCAGATATTGAAATTATACAGAGAAAATACTGTCTCAATGGAAAAGTAGTTGGCTGAGTACAATACCTCCTAGAAAGCTCAAAGACAATGATAATCATGTTTGTGCAATAATAAGCAGGGGTAGTGAAAAATAAAGCAGAATAACATGATCGTTTAATTAGTTCTTACATCTACGGAAATTTCAACTATAACAACCAATATGTCGAGAAAGGTACGCTACAGAGTAATCCTGATCACACGGATAATTGGATTGGTCAATGTACAGTGGGAGTACTCAGAAAAGAACTAAGATTCATGTTTGAACGGGATATAAAAAGGTTTGGTGAAGGGCATAAAGATTGACAACTGTTACTTGAAATATTAAACGAGTTACGTTTTCCACAATGAACCTACAATAAGTTCTACAAACCTCAGCAGATAAATATAATAAGTCCAGTTTCCTAATGCTGAAAGAAAAATATAAGAGCACATAAATAACACAAATGCTAACATTAATTTATATCCAGATCAAGCTCTATTACAACCAAAATGCACCTACGATTTGTAAGTTGTAACAATCTCGAGAATGTGAAGATGTCTTTCACACAATAAAAACAACGTCAACCAAAAAAGTTTGCCCTAACGAGACATAACATATATCAATACTTAATAAAATATTTATATCCAAATTAAATAAGCTACTTTTCTAAAAATCGTCATGCCTAATGTGAGATAGTCACCCTCATTTTTCAGGGGAAAAAATGAAAAATAAAATTGACAGGATAATTCCACCCAATACACTATGATGAGATTTATGAAACATTAAACAATTATTTCAAAAGGAGAGTGAAATGCTGGTTCATTTACAAGCAATTAAACCCTTAAAGAATATAAAGCCTTATTTTTAAGATACGCATGAGTGAGCTCTATCGCACCTAAGGTACAGTTATAAATTGTCTATCATCTCAAGAAAATCACCTCCACCTGCTCACTGTCCTATAAAAAGAATCAGTTCTAATAACCCTGGCATAATTTTATCACCTAAAACAAAAACAATCAACCATGTGTGATAAATAATTACGGGATAATTGTGATCCGATAACAGAGATTGAATGAAATTCTGAGCTTGAGAGAAAATGGCACTACACCTTTGATTCCTTTCATTTCCTCATACATTAAACAATATACCCACAATACGACATCACGTGATATTATTTCAAGTTTCTCTACTGTTTGAACGAGCAGGGTACCCTTATTTTAGTCATAAATTCCATAACAAAGAGGACTCAAGTTTAGGAAATAATGGTGGAAATTGTGATCCATGAACACAATAACACAATATTAAGGAAGGCAATTGAATCAAACTAAAATGAAATGAATGATGGTCAAATTATAAGATGAAGTTCGTCGTTCTAGTTTTACAAACACTATTCATCAAAACAAGCACCCATTGTGTCAAAGTGAAATATTTACAATGCACGTACTATAAGAAAAAAGAAAGGCATGGCAATAATTCTTACAGCTACATTAGTGTAGTCCTTAGGGCGCCTGAGTTTAAGAGTAGACCCAGAAAAGGACATCTCGTTCAAAGAAATAGCAGCAGAAGCATCCTCAGGGGTCAAAAATTCCAGAAGAGCCTGGCTCTTCTCCTTGTGTATCTGCAGTTGAAAAATAGTCGAAGCACGTTAATTTCTTTACCGAATATGCACAAGGAGAACAGACGAGACAGAATTTAAACGAAAAGGTTGGGACGTACTATACAGCTGATACATGGTTGGGTTCCTAGAATGTAGTTAATACCAGATGACAGCAAAAACTTATTAATACATTCCGTCAACTCTTTCTCAGACGCTGAATCGGGCAAGTTTTCTACATAGAGCCTCCTCATAGGTCGTGTCGCTTGAGTTAGCTGAATAGACTCAATGGCATGCATCTGTGAAGATAAGGTATGATGAGGAATTCCAATAGGATTCACCACCACAGGAGTCGGAGGAGTACTACTTGGGAACTCCTTTACGTTCAACGATAAATTATGGCTTGTAGTAGGCACACCGGAAAGAGATGAACTAGCTGCGTTATTCTCTTTCTCGACAGGTTGTAAATCCCATCCAGCAGATCTTTTCTCTGGAGAACGATGAGTTGGGGAAGGAGTTTTAGCAGCAGCATCGGTTTTCCTCTTTCTGGGTGAATAGCCCCCAAGGCCACTCAAAGGGCCATCGTTTCGCTTGAGGTGACTACTAGATCCATTAACGGATAACCGTTTCTTGTCGACATCCGAATGTTCTCTTCCCAATCTGTCTTTTGCAGGATGAGATGACGGTTCCCCGTGCTCCCTTTTATCTGATGTGTGCTTATGCCCCTTTGGTGAATGTGAAACAGACCTTCTGCTTCTTCCTTTGTCACGCTCTCTGCTCCGTGATCTTCTCCTTTTAGGCCTGGATTCTTCAAGATGAACTCGTGTAGGTTCCTGTCTTTTCCTTTCCGAATCAATTTTTTTACCGGTACCCCATCCTCTAGTTTTATACTCTTCATTATGACAACTGTGCCTGGTGTCTTTTTCGGATTTCTCTCTGCTTCTGTCACTTAATTTATCTGTTGGCATCACATCTTTTGCATTTCTTTTCTTATAATCATTCTCAGAATCACTGCCCTTCCACCCATCAGGTTTCCTCTTTCTGTAAACCTCCCTGTTCTCATTACGAGGCTGTTTCGTATCAATTTCCGATTTGATTCTACTTCTTTCAGAAACTCGACCCTTTTTATACGAATCTATGGCATCCCTCTTATTAGATCCATTACCAGAATCAACAGTTGAAAGAACATCATTTTTTCTGCCACTGTGATCTCGTCTCTCATTTTTTCCTTCTGTCGTTTTCCTGCTGCTTACATTCTTATCCCCTACACCCTTTGACTTGGCATCAAGATCCATAGATCCTTCCTCTTTTCTTCGAGAACGTAACTTCTTAGACTCATTTGATGTATGCCTTATTTCCATAGGTTCAGAACCCTCTTCTGTTTCTCTACGAAGTTCTGGATAATCAAAAGCCTTCTCAATGTTTTCCTGTGCTAATTCAAAATCAGGGACTTCAGTGCCGTTTTTAACTTTTGTAGCTGTCTTTCCCTTGTTTTTTCTTCTAAGCATTATGTCATCAAAACTTAACGGCCTGGTTCTTGCTGAAGTTCCCTCCAAGAAATCATCCTGAGACGCTCGATTATTACTTCGAGATTGTTCTCTGTGTGGACGGGATCTGGTCATGGCACTTGTACACTTCTAGCCTGGTAGAATAGCAACATTCAGAAAGAACTATATAGAAGGAAATGGTGCAATGGCTTATAGAATTCGGCAATCACTAGTATTTCTCTACCAAGAAAGAAAACGATCGAACATGCACTAAATCTTGAGAAAGGGTGTCTCTTCTAGTTCTATGCGATTCCCAAAACAAAATACGATTGATATCAAAAGCACTCAAAATACACACTCGAATGCAAGATTCAGTAAACGAGTTATCTTCTCAATTCCCTTATTGCACAACATATTAATTCACGATATTCGGTCCCTACTTAGATTCATAAAGGTGCTTGAAACAAGAAGTTCTGCAAGTACTGAAAGCTTGAACTCTAGGGTTTATAGAATCTCTTGCTTTAGATACAACAAAATTTCACTTTCCCAAGTATAAATAGTTTAAACAATCACTGAATTCCAACTGATCAGCAGAAAATTGTCAAATGTATTCAAGATTGTATAAACCTCCAATAAATGAAATAATTATAGATTTCCGCTCCATTGAAAAAGTGGAGCGATATTGAATCGAATTCATTCTAACCTAAATGTATAAAGTTAAAAAAAATATAAAAATCATTAAATACAAAGAATGCCATCGCGCTCGAATTGGCGGAGTGGGCATAGAAAAGTAAATACGCGTACGTGTATTTGAAAATGCGATTCGCCGGAGCTGTGGCCGGAGACAGAATCGTCGTCGGAGATATTTTGCAGAAGAGCGAACGTGGAGAGTGAACTTTTGAAAAACAAGACCTAGAAACGAGAAGATATTTGCTGCTCGTTAAATGACACTTTTGCCCTCCGTAAATACTTTTCCCTATGAATGGTACAAATTATCCAACTAATAATTTAGTACGTTTATACCGAGTCGGGACCGGGAAAATTTATTATTTAAGCGAGGTTATTGGATTATCGAGTACTAATTTTCCGAGGTTCTACTATAATTGGGAAAATTATAGATTTTCATCACTTAATTTTGCACTAATTTTACATTTGGTCCCCATGTTTACAAAAAAACACATTTTGTCTATCATGTTTCAATAATTTAATAGTTTTGGTCATTTCCGTCAATTTACCTTTAGTTTGTCAGTTAAGGTAATGACGGACACACGCTTGATTCCGTTAGTACCAACAGAAAATTGACGAAAAAGACTAAAAATGTAAAATTGTTGAAACATAAGGGACCAAATGTAATTTTTTTGAACACAAGGAACTAAATGTGAAATCAATACAAAGTTATGGGATGAAAACTGTATTTTTCTCCAATTGGAATGGACTTTTGAGTTAGGCAGTCTAGGACTACTTATTACTAAATAGGTTCAGTTAAAAAATATTATCTATATATATATAAAAAGACAATCCCTTGCTTCATTTGCTGACGCGTGGCACTTTAGGGTTTCCAAACCCTAGGGCACTTTTTATAATTCTTTGATAGTTCTAGAGCTAATTTAGAATAAATAAAACATGTCCCTGTCCTCTACATTAACTGCCGCAAAAACTATCTCCCCAACTGCAACATAATTTTTCCTATCAAAAAAAAAAAAAACTGCAACATAATTTGTGTTCGCTGGAAAGAATCGCAAACATAAATCTTCACAAATCTTTACAAAAATATTGATTCCCAGAAAATTGAAGTTGTAAATCTTTATAACTACTCAATTCGAAGGATTGTAAATCTTTATCATCTTGTTTCAAAATGTGAACCTCGAATAAGGTAAAACGAACAAATTGGAGAATATCCACTAAATTTAACACCGCAAGGGTGGATGTGTAAGAAGATTCATAGTTGACGATATGGTTGTAATTACCCAAACTGGAGGGGTTTTCGTAATTTAACCTTACCTTAGGAGTTGACCGTGATTTACCCTTTATTTTAACAAAATTATTTGGCAAATCTGGTCTGTAAGTGACTTCTTCTGCACAAGCTAGCTAATTACCTGGTAATAACCTTCTTTTTTTGTTTAACCGTCGAGGCCGATCGGCACTAAATAACAAATGTGTTTATTTTTCCAAACAATTCATATCGTCAAATAAACACAATAAAACGATAAACAAGAATCACATTGTACAACATTATCGACAAAACCCCGGAGAAAGTAAAGCAAAGGATGCTAGGGTATTTATTTAAGAGGTAAACTAAGTTCACTCTGGTTTGCCATCTTGCTTCTTTAATCTTGACATCATATGCTCAGTAATCTACAAAAAAAAAAAATGAACAAATAACATATTAAAATGTTTTTTTTTTTTTTTTAATTCAGAATATCGGAGAAATGTATCGGTTTTTAATAATAATAAAAACTGTAATGAAAGACGGAGTTATAGTACTAACCTGCTCGGTGTACGGCAGATATTTACCGTCGAATGTCACAACAGCACGATCCTTGCCGTCTACGCCTTTGACTTTATCGACTGAGCAATAAAAGTCAATGGCCGACATTCTAAGGTAAGGAAAAAGAAAACAAAATATAGGTCAATCAGATTGTAGAAAAAAATTGAGTCTTTTCAAAAAACCATTTTAAATGTTCGAAGAAAATTCAAAAGAATTCCTACGGAACACGAATAAAGAATCATAACAATACAGCTCGTCGAGGACACGAGTATATCTTTCGAAACATGCTTCGCTTTGTCTCGGAAACGCGCACACACCACTTAAACACATGATAGTTAACAAATTTCATTTCATAAATAATGATAAGAGATAAATCCTAAATTAATTTTCATATGATTTGTATAATCTAAGAAGACAATAAGCAAAAAGATCACTAGCTCTCCAAAGACCAAGTAAATAAGCTTAAGTGTAAATTACGGCCACCCACGAGCTAAAGTCAAATTATGAAAAAATCCCTTTTTTTGAGTAATTACAACCACACCCCTCAACTATGAATTTTCTTACACGTGCACTCTTATGGAGTCAAATTCAACATAATCTTCTATATTTCGTGGAATGTTCTCTAGTCTGTATTCGTTTTGTGTAAGAATACAATTCTTGATCCACCACAATATGATATTTACAAGCCAAGATGCACATTTTATGTTCATCTTGTTTCAAAATGTGGAGCTCAAATGGGGTAAAATGGGTACAAACTTGAGAATATTCCACATAATCTAGAAGATTACACTAAATTTGACACCGTAAGAATGGACGTGTAAGAAGATTCAGAGTCGCGGGTGGTTGTAATTACCAAACTGGAAGGATTTTTTCGGTAATTTAACCTTGCCTCACGGATCGTCGTAATTCACCCTAAAACTTAAAGATAGGATCTTTACTATGAAAAAATTGGCAATAGTTACTTACATGCCATCGCCAAATTCTTCATTGATAATTTCCTTAATGCTCTCCCCGAAATGCATAATTGCTTCATGCAACCTGCAAAATAATATATATTTAAAAAAAATTAAACCCATCAAACAAACACAATCCCAGAAATTGAAAATATTTTATCCATCAAACTTGCACTGATTTCACATTTGCTCCTCAATGTTCATAAAAAACACATTTGATCCCTCATATTTTAAAAATTCACTTTTAGTCATTTCCGTCAATTTTCTGTTAGTACTAACAGAATCAAACTTGTGCCCATCACACCTTAATCGATGAATTAACGGTAATTGACCAAAATGACCAAAATTGTTAAATTATTGTAACAGGAGAGACCAAATGTGTTTATTGTAAATATGGGGACCAAACGTGAAATCGATGTAAACTTGAAGTGTGTAAACTGCAATTTTCCCAATTAAAAATTAGAGAAGAATAAAGAAAATGAATAAAAATCCCAGAAATTATTTCAATACTAAAGAAGGAAACATTCAGGAAAGAAAAAAAAAAAGAAAAAAAAAAAGAAAAAAAAAAGAGAATAACCTGTAAACAGTGGGTTCTTGAATTAAGTTAGGGTCATATGAACGCATAGGGGGCAGCATCATCTCACGGAGGAGCGCGTCGGTCAGTCCGGGCAGGGCTGACCGGAGTAAAGGGGCAGTCTCCGGCTTGAGCGGAGCTTGGCGCCGGAGGAGCTGAGCCACGTAGACGTTGGTCAAGCCGGTCTCGTCGGCTATCTGACTGTACGTCTTCCCCGATTCCCGTTTCACGGCTTGGAGTTCAGCCGAGATCCGGGCTTTGCCGCCGCCGCTTGGCGTTTCCATAGCTGTTTCGGCTCGCCGGCTTTTGGATTCTTCCGCTGTCAGCTACTTCTCGATGATGACGATTGAGGATAATAAAAGGCAAGCAGACAGTAGAAGCAAAAATCGTGTGGTATTTAATTAGGCCGCCGAACTTACACGATTTTACTACTTTACCCCGGTTGATAATTAATTGTTGCAATTTACTCCCAAGTATTATTATGAAATGAAATAATTTGTGCAGACATACGGGAAACTAAATGTTACACCCGATTATTTATACGGGCTGAATTTGAACCGTAGATCTACACATAATTACACACACAGTCTCATGTGTATGTGTGCTTACTGGTTAGTTATTTAATCAAATTTACAGTTCAAATCCATCCGATGTAAATAATCAGGAGTAACATCTAACTCCACCGTAAATTTCTCCTTGCAGGCACGTCTCATTTATTATTTCAATTTCTCAAATACTCCCAAACTCTTTGATTTACGAAAATTTCTGGAGTCAATCCCGATGCATACAACAAGAGATCTGAGGTAAATTTCACGTTTTTAAGTTCCTTGCTTTATGTAGATTACGAATTTAAAAAAATAAATACTCGGAATTTGCCTTAACCGTAAGTATGCTTGCCTCCACCGTCCTCTACGACCACATATACATTCGTAAAATTAGCACGAAGATGGACTAAAAATCCATTTGCATATAAACACAAACACAAATTGCTTCAATTTGTAAAACAAAACACTTCAAATATACTATATTTCAAGAAGCTAATGTATCAACATGTAAAAATAAATAAATAAAACAAAATAAAATAAAATCCCACTTTATTGCAATATTCACACAACTATATAACCTAGCTCTAAATAAAAGAAGACACAAAATATAGCACAAGTGGTCTTCCCAATCTCTATAGTTGTCTTGGACTTTACCACTAGAATGTATATCAACATGTGTTAAACACTTCAAACTTTTCTTCACAAAACCATACATACATATAAGTTGCACATTTTTCCTCCATATATATAATAAATCAAGAAATCCCCTTCCTTTTTTTTCGATTCGTTTTCAATACGCAGTCGTTTAGATCACCACCGATCGATCACCCTAAAGATCCACCCCTCTTCGCAAGATGAAACGTCCTCTTCAAGAAGTGATTAGCCGCCCTATCATCCCTATGACAAAGCACCCTCAAAATCGTATTCGGGTCCGTCCGGTTCCACCGCCCGGTTGTGGGCGGCATTGGAAGCTTCCGCCCGAACCCCGCCACCCCCACCCCCATCCCGCTCGACTCGCAAGCCACGATTGTAAAATCCTCCACCAACCTCTCCGTCGACTCCCCCATCAACGCCACCACCCCCTCCACCGTCTCCGCCTCCCTCGCCACCTCATCCTCCCCCATCAAACCCTCGCCGCACGCGCAGAAAACCCTCTTCAAGCTCTCGAAATCCTCCTCGATCATCGCATGGTCCAATCTCGAAAAAATCCTTGATCCGCCACCGGCCAGTAAAACCATTAGATACGCCTCGAACGAAGCCCTCATCACTTCCTTCAAAGCCAACGGTTGAGCCCTATCGGTCACTATTGCGCATAAAAGAGTCAAATTTTGTTTGAGTATTCTCAAGGCGGGCTTTATACGCGTGTTCACTACGTCTCCGACGTACAAGCTGCTATAGAAAACGGGGCCCGAGTCGAGGAATATTAACCGGTAGGCCGCCACCTCGGAGACGTGCTGGGTGGCGGCCTTTATGGCGGAACGGCTGTGCTCGAAGTAGGAACTGCCGAGCTGCCGCCGGTTCCCGAAGCGGGTTTTTGGCGGGGTCACTTTCGGAGAGAGGGATAGGGTTTTGTCGAGGGAGTGGAGCTTGGAGAGGATGTAGTGCAAGGTGTTGAGGCGGATGTAGAGGCGTTGGGTCCCGCGGCTCGTGGAGGGGCGAGGGTGGTTGGCTTGGTCGGACTCTCCGTGCATGCTATGGCTTGGATCCTCTAGTCCGACTTTGCATGCGGCTCTTTTCCATAGTTTTAGGAACTTCGAGTCGCGGTTGCAACGTGTTAGTGGAGGAAGCGTTGGGAGATAACTCTGTTTCGATCCTGAAAAAAATCAATAGATAAGTTGTTATTGAGGATGTGATTGCATCAAGTAAAGTTGGTGAAAATCGGACGGATCAGAGAAGAATTAGCACTTTTGGATAAATTTCCTATTTTTTTTCTGAAGTGAAAAACTAATTGAAATTCCGTTCCAAGAAAAAAATGGAAATCAAAATGTCAAATATTAAACCGAAGAAACATGTTCCAAAATCAGAAATTTTCGAATCGGAATCGACCGAATTTGGAGAATTCCAAAAAAAACAAATAGTCACGTAAAATAAAAAATACATAATATGATGATAATAATATCTATATGTTAAGTGTAATTTTCAGAAAAGAAAAATCGGAATTTTCGTAAACTAGAATTGGATCCGGAATCGGATTCTTATCTATATTCCAATCGCGATCCAAAAGATTTCGGAAAAATAAAAAAAAAAATCAGAAATTCGGAATGAAAAATATCGTCTCAAAATCGGAAAAGAAAATCAGAAATTTCGTTCCAATTTCGACCCATAAATAAAACAATGAGTAAAAATAGTGAAAATGCTAGTTTTAAGAGATTAGTAGTTCTTACCGCACGATGCGATGAACGTGATGTAATCTCCGAAGAGATGCTCTAAGCCGTCGGTGAGGTCGTAGACTAAATTCTCGGAAACGTTGACCGGGATCTCGAAGAAACTCTCAATAGATTCCTTGGCAAATCTGACCATCTCTGAAGCTGAATGTGCATAAGGCTCTGTTTTGGACTTGGGATTCCATGTCTGCAAAAATTAAGGAGTTCACAAATATATAACATATGTACTCATTTAGCCCAAGCTTTATAGTAATCCTATTAATTAGGTCTTTTTTTTTCTCTCAATATAAATAAATAAATAATTTGGTATTGTTTGAAATTATGAATCACAGTCATATTCTTAAATGTCTCCTTAAATTACATATTATCGTCAATTTAGAATTTCTCACACACAAGATAATTTTACTATATCATAAAAGAAAAAGAAAATTAAAATTTCACACAATCAGAAAAAGGATGAATAAGAAAAAAAAAAAAAAAAATCGGGGTTTTGGGAAAATTACGGTTTTCATCCTTCAAGTTTGCATGGATTCCACATTAGGTCCCTCATGTAAAAAAAAACACATTTGGTCCATCATGTTTAAAAAAATCGACACTTTCAGCCATTCTCGTCAATTTTTCGGTTAGTTCTAACGGAATCAAGCGTGTGTCTATCATTACTTTAACTAACAAACTAATGGTAAATTGATGGAAAACACGTAAAATTTTAAATTCTTGAAACATGGGGACCAAATATAAAATCGGTGCGAAGTTAAGGGTGAAAACTGTAATTTTCCCAATAAAATATTAAAGCTTACTTCGGTTTCTTTTGCACGCTGGAGATTCTCCTTCCCCAACTTGAGCTTCTCCTGGATCCACTGCTTCAGCAATTTGAGTATAATGGTATCAACCTCGTACGGGATCATCTCCCTCACCACCGCCTTGCCGCCGTCCTCGCAGTCGGCGGAATCCTCCACGACCATTTGGACAAGAACCTTCTCGAGCTTTCCGGCCCTCTGCAAGACGAGGATGGTTTCGTTCATGAGGGAGGAGGAGGAGGAAGACGAAACCCCCGTCAGGTACTGCTTCAGCAGAGTCCCGTAGCAGCTGTGGAGTGTCGCGGCGGCGACGCCGGCGGAGACCGGGTGCCACTTCTTCAGAACCGGGCTGAAGATGTCCTTCTCCTTCGACGCCAGTTCTTCGGTTTCTCTTGCCAGTTTTATCAGCACCTCGCTCACCTTCGCCGCCTCGATTATTGTCGTACCGTTTGCGTTTTGGTCCTCGAGCATCTGATGTAAAACGAAGGAGGGTAAAACGGTCATTTTCTTATGATTTTATAACGAATTTTGGATTTTTTTAAATAACTTAATACAGTCGGGACTAGCAAAATTCTATTAATTTAGCAAAATATTAAATTATCGAACTAATAATTTAATATATATTTTCACCGAGTCGGGCTAGTGAGAATCTATTATTTAAACAAATTTATTAATTTATGGAGGTTTTACTGCAGTCTGTATGTATAAAAAATTCAAGCAACCAAGAAAGGTATAGATAAAAGAACTAAAGCATGGAAGCGACGAACCTTGGCAAAAACGTTTCGTGAAGACGATCGAATGTAATAATCGACTTTGTTCCCGCTCGAATAATCGTCTCCCTTTTCCTGCGGTGAAGTAACATAGCACGGAACATCCTCTTCAAGTATCTTGCCGGCTGAGAAAACCAAAGGGACTATACTTTCCATAATTCCAACCGTGCCCTTGTCGAAATTCCCGTGATAATCGAGCAACCTCTTCTCGCACCACTTCTTCATTGCACTCAAAACACAAGCAAGCATCTTCACATAAACTTCCTCTCTATCGACTTTTTTAGCATCATTACCTACCTCGGCCAACATCGTAAGTGACGCCCCGAGGAGATCGGTCTCGCACTTTTACGTAGGAAAATATGGTGTTAGTTACATAGTTACAATGAAAAAATATCGATATTGTCGTTAATTAATGTTCGTAACAAGTGACGATATTTTTCACTTTCGAAAAAAAAATTAAAGAATTCAGAACTCTGATTTCCGATCCATTACGTCCAATTTCCAGATACATAACGAATCTGCTTTCCAAATTCGTTATGTATTGAAAACAGTTACACGATCGAAAAAGCGTCGATCATATATGATTGATTACCTGTCCCGTCACGACATACTGTTCGAAAAGCACCCAAGCGAAGCACAAATTATGCATCGACCGATTCATCCCCAAAGTCGACCACGTCTTCTTCATAAGCTCGAGCAGCTCGTCGACCTCATCGAGCACCAAAGTCTCGTCTTTCGTGTCAAATATAGAGCGGACCAAAGAGAGGTATATCTCGACGTTGAGTGGGTACCCGTCGGCCCACCGACAGATGTCGGTGGGCCCGCCATCCGGGCTCCTCCATGCAAGTGCAACCACGGCGTTGCAGAGGGCCCGCATGGTCTCGGAGTTCTTGCCCGTGTCCACCACCTTTGTCTCGGCGGATTTGAGGATGGCCCTCAGCTTTGCGGCTGACGTGTCGGATTTGTCGAGCGGGATTGAAGGGTGGATTATGAGCCCCGTTTCGAGTATTTTGAGCTGCCGCTTCTGCCATTGATGGTACTCGTGTGCGTCGCTGAATTCTGATGGTTTTAAATGGCGGAGGAGCTCTAGTGGCAGGATGATCGTCTCTGCCCGCCGCCCCATCTGCAAATATTTGACGTATAAAAAGAAAAAAGAAAAAAAAAACACTAGTATTTTCACGAGATAGTATTTGAAAATTAAAATAATTATTAGTTTAATGCATGACATTTAAAGTTGTAATAAAATTTATTAGTGATATCGATAACGTTAACATTTATACAAATTTAATAATACAAACTCATTTCGGAAAAAAAAAAATATATAATCTTAATTGTGATAGTATGAAATAGATCATCAAATAAATGAAGTAGAGAAAAATAAGAAAAAAATAGAATGGAAAATTGAAGATCAAATTTTGTATGAAAATAATTAGAAAAGGAAGACTGCAAAATAGAAGATAAAAAAATAATATATGGACATATAAATTAATTTATTTTTACAAATATGCCATTAGGATTTCTTAGATTGTACTAACGTTTCTTTATTTTACGTATAAAATCTTACAAAACTTAATTACAAGCTTTTGAAATATTTAAAATTCTATTTTTTTCGGTTCATTCCAAATTTAAAATTCAAGAAACTTTTCTTTGAGAATTGAATGTATTAAATTAACACCGATATATATATATATATATATATATATATATATATATATATATATATATATATATATATATATATATATATATATATATATTATCATAATTTCATAAAGTTTTATGTTACAGCCATGCAAAGTGGCGTTTCAAATTTTCTTCTCGCAACTCTAATTTTGCCTCCCACAATCTTGCAAAGTGGGCTTTTGCTGTAAAATGGAAGGGGTCTGTTCCCCTTGATATCCTCCCAAACTCTTGTTTCTGTGATGGAGGATATCCTATTGTTGACTCAGTGTGTATGTGTATGTGTATGTGAAGAGTGTGTGTGTGAATATGTGTAATTGTGAAACTTGAGATATTAAACCACATAAGTTGAGATATTAAAGCCTAAAAGTTGAGATATTCAACCTCATAAGTTGAATTAAAGATGCAATGAATCCATGTCGATCCAATCTGGATCGGTCTAAACTCGATCCACATTAAATCCATTCATGTAGGTTGATATTTGATCCGGTTCCTTTTGAATCCGATCCACATGGATCCGGATCGGATCCGGTCCAAGTTGAGAAATTGCCACCCCTACTTAAAATGTAATATATGTTACTTTAATTCTTGAATTGTTGAAAATAATGATTTATTCGGAATCCTCTTGACGGTTCATATCTTCTTCCTCGAACTATTCAAATAAGTTCTCATCTTCATTCGAGAATTATTCAAATAATTTATCATCCATATTATTTGGCTACTCAACTGAGTTCCTTCACTGATCCTTGAATTATTTAACGAGGTTCAATCTAATTCTCTATCAATATTGAATCGTTTCACATCCTGACTTGTATACTAGTTGGAACCACTTCTATTATGATTCATTAAATCATTTGATTTGTTTCTACAGTGGTTTAACGAACGTAATCGTTATTTTCCTGACTCTTAGACCATTTAGGATTATTGTGTTTATCCATTAAATCATTCGCTTCATACCTACTGCGAATTGATTGATCGTTCAGACTTCTTATTGATCTTTTGGAACCATTTGTCTTTCGAGCTATACAATTCTACGGATTCAATTCTAACCGTAGACTATTGTTGTTGAGATCCATCTTCATCACTTGTTATCGAAATCGTAGTTGTTCTATTTTCACTTGAATCTATTGTTGTTGAAACCGTTGATCGTACCTTTCTTGACTTGTGATTTCGTGACCACAAATTATTGTCACTTGTTATTGGAATCCCATTGGGATTATCCTGATAAGTCACTTACTGGAATCTCGAAACATATTGGACTATGGTATTGATTCTTTCCAAAGTGGAATTTATTATTGGGATTCAAATTGTAAATTGAGATAGTCGAAAGCATATCCGATATCTATATATGATTGATTCTTTCGGGGACGCCCTAAGGATAATTGACCAGTTGGGCCCGGGGATGTTCAAAAAAGACTGATGGGCGGTATTGGGCCGACGGTGGATGATCTCATCGATAATACCCATATTGGATCTAGACCATTGGCATAGTTAGAGGTTAATTGTGCTGATGGATGGATCAGCATGCGCCCGGGCATGCCTATTGATTGATAGCAGGGT